CATCCAAACTTCAGACCCAGATGAACACAGGGGAACAAAAGAAAGGTGAGGATTTCTGTAACAGAGAGAGGCCAGGCTCTCCTTCATTCATTCAAATCCCTTTTGGGTCAAGGGGTGCAACTGGGCTGCTCCACGAGGGAAAGTGTGCTGAGGGAACAACAAGGCAGGCACAAGGCAGGATCCTCACCAACAAAATGCATGTCCCACCATACCAGCCCCACTCAGGAAAAAGAGCAAAGCAGGCCCACAGGAAATTTGTGACTAATACATTTTACCTATTGAGTGTATTTCAGATAATAAGGAAGCTGCTAATACACTAAAGAGATATCAACACAATTCCAATTAACCAGTATTTCCATACTTCCATTATACTTTTTATATTACAATTCCCAATTCTCTCTACAGGAACTTTTGCATGAACATGACCATAGAAAGCATAGAAGAAAGAGGTCAGCTAAAAACTGACTGTATGGTCTGCCTAACTTAATTTCTGTTTGATACCAATGTTGACATAACAAGAAACAAGGCCTCAACCTTTCTCCCCTCAAAGCTAATGCATGAATTATCTAACAGTAAAATAAGAAATTAAGTTTTGTGCTTTTCAGAAGTGACTGCTTACTAAAAATAAATACCAGGCAGACTTTAAAAATAGATTTTATTGAGTAATTGGAAAAATATACATTGAACTGGATATTTGGAAATTAATCCTATAATAACTAAAGAAGCATTTTAAAAAGATAAACTGATGGTTAATTGTAAAAGCCTAGTCCTGTCACAATTCACAGTTAAACTGTAATGAGCACAGGAGGTTATTACAATTCTTAAGTCATTGATTTCCATTTCATACATATATAGGTCACTATTAATTCATTATCACCTCAATGAAAAGTTTTGGTTCTTTTGTACAAAGGCTAATTACACAAAGAAACACGGAATCTACACAATATCCTAAAATCAAAGTGCTTCTGAGGCTGTGTGGCACTTAATGCTAAAACCAATGTAAGCAAATTAAAACAGTCCAGATATGAAGTTTATAAATTACTGAATTCTCTATCATATGGAATACATATAAAACCAGTCCAGAAAAACATGTATGTGATTGCAAATCGATAGCAAATAATAAACAGCAGAATCTCCATAAAATAATTATAAATTATTATAAATTATTGTCTCCATTTTAACAATGGAGGCAAGCATTATTAAAGCTAGAACAAACTAGTCAGTTTCAAACATATTTTATTTATGTAAAATTTTAGATCTCTCCCGAGACCTGTTTGTGGATTAAAAGGCTTAAATTATTTATCTTGTGGTGGTTTATTTCCCTCCAACATAGTTTAGCATCCTCTTGCTTCCACAACAGTAAAATTAAAAGCCTTCCTCTGATTTCAGCAATTCAGTGTTATTCTTTAGCCAGAGCCAGCTTTAAACATACACAAAAACACACAAAAAATTTAGGACAACCTCACAAAATCTGAGTCCAATTGTGCCTTTGCTCCAATCTTAAAAACTGCTTTAAATTAAGTACTGATTTTCATTCTTTGCAACTCCTTCCTCCACTGAGTGTGTTACCCATAGCTCGGATACAATTTTAAATTTTTTCCCAAATGTTCTCCTGAGTGCTTTCATCTCTTCTACCCGTGAACAATCTTCTCCCACAACAACATGGGAGACACCCTCTTCAAGGTGAGAAACTACTTCTGCACCATAAAAACGGAGCTCCAAAGCTCTAATTGAAAGTGTAGTTCCAGGGATTTTACTTTGGGGCTCATTAACAACAGCATAACAGTCCACATAAATAGTGCTTCCTCTGAATATACCGAGATGACAACTGCCACACCAATAACGTTCTTCTAGCTCTGAAATCAAGTCCAGAGGCATTGCCTTATTGTCTTTCATTCTTGAGAACACTTCCTTGAGCTGCACAACATCTGTGTTTGCTGTGTAGCTGTCTCCATAACAATCATACTCACGAGCAAAATGTTCTTTTGTGTCAGGAGACATGTGAATCATAAAGGCTGGTTGCCAAGGCACCAGCATTTTGGTTTCAAAACACTGAAGGAGCCACTCTGCCCTCACCACATCGTATTTGTTGGAAGCGATGACGTTTTTCACTCTGACATTCTCAGCTCCTACAATGACACAGTAAGTCTCCGGCCCTGGGTTCTGTACCACACTGCCACCACATTGGGCTATTCTGCTTTCCAGCTCAGACTTTGAGTATTTTCCCATTCCTGTCATAACACAAAACTCAACATCTTCAAATACATTTGAAACCTTGCTTACACTAGAAAGATCAGGAGCTTTAAACTGCTCAGCTATTCCAATTACCTTCCTCACCTTTGAAACAGTTTTCCTTTTTTTCTCATGTGGCTCATCGTACTCATCTATATGAAGGTGCTTAGATGCCAGCTTTCCTTGTGCTTTGCTTCTGAGGTCTTCTAGCATGTCTGAAGTCATGCACTCATACCATTCTTTGTCTTCCCTTATCTTTTCAATTCGGGGGAATCTCAAAGTACAGTCAGTTTTATACATATCACTGTCAACAATCTCAGCTGCCTTGATCTGAACTATGACAGAGTTGCAAGGTTCAATGTACATTTCAGGTTTTTCAGCTCCACACAAAATGTTACCAGGAGGGTCCTTCCTATTGTAGGGCTTCCAGTGTTTAGCCAGTTTCAAGCCCAGATCATACAACTCTTTCATAGTATAGCCAGAGCCAACACGACAAATGGAGTGGAAAATGGTCGGCTTTTCATTCGGAGGGGGTGTCTCTGCAACAGCACATAGAAAATGAGACATCATTCCACCACGAGACCCCTTCCCCCAGTAACCACCAACAATTAAAAGGTCCAGCTCATCCATCAGTCCATTGACATATTCTGGCTTGATTTTTAACCAGCCTTCCCCACGTTTGTCAGGCTTGTAGGTGGACATAGGATCTTTCACCATAATTCCTTCCTCTCTGTTATCTATGGCTTCATTTAAAGCATCAATTACTTCTTTTCTTGTTCTGGCACTTCTCTTATGGACCACATGTATCCTGCCCTTTACCGGGGTAAATACACTACTTAAGATTTCATATCTTTTGCTTAGTACTTCATGCCCCAACTTCTGATCATTAACCATCAATACATCAAATACACAGAAGCAGGTCTGCAGATCAGAGTCATCCACCATTCTTTTTATGTCAAATTTGTTTCCTTTTTGCATAAAAGTCTGTGCCTCAGGATTGTAAGCCATCATTTCACCATCAAGAATGCAATTTTGTATATTGCTCTGAAATACATTATGAATAAATGGCGTTAATGAACCTTCAAGGGGTGAAGCACCAAACTGCTGGGTATAGTCAAACCCATTTCGGGAAAAGTACTTGTACACATCCCCATCTTTGTGCATCTGCATACGTTCACCATCCAGCTTCGTTTCTATGTAGAATGTCTGGTTACTCATTTGTTTCTCAATTTGCTGGACATCTGCAATAGCAGCAAGCATTGGTTTAAAGGCAGAAAACAACATGATAGAAACATCACTAAGCGAGACAGTGGGATCATGCAGCTGTCTGCAAACTTTTTCCAAGTCGGTAGTAACATTGTGCAATTCAGCAGCATCAGGATGAAAAATTGAAAATATAGTTTGTTGACTAACACCAAGCTTTAGATCCTTTATAATCATTCGGATAAGCCACTTTTGTTCCAGTGCTGTGCTCTGGGTAATTAACTGCAGAAGACTTTTCTTTAACTGACCCTTGTTTTTAGCAGCATTATTATTGGCAATTGCATCTAAATGTTCATTAACTTGTTCTATTGTCAGTCTGCCTTGTTTTGGGCTCCTAGGCTTTAGCACAAAGTAGGCGATCATTGCAAAATCCCCAGCATCTCCACGTGAGCCCGTAGGTGTTCTGTAATTTAAAAGCTTTGCAGCATCTTTTCCATCTTTTGGTAAACTAAGCAGTTCAATATAGAGCTTTGCAAGCATAGTTTCTTTAATCCCATATGCCATCCTTTCTCTTTCCAACTGTGGGAGAATGAGCCGCATAGCTGGGTAGAAGGAATCTGTGACATCTTTCTCTTTTTGATGGAGTGCATCATGGAATTTCCTCCAGGAATCCAGAAAATCCTTGAAATACTTGGTTTTCTCTGGACGAGTTTTGGACTTCTGTATTCGCTCCAGAGTAGAACAGAGATCTGCAAAAGGCACGTGAGAGGCCACCGTTTTTTTAGGAGGAGGCTGTGAAACAGGTGCGGAAGCCATCAGTCTGTTTTTCTGGGAACAAAACAAAATTATATATTTATAACAAAACGCCAGCAGGTTATTCTGTCTTAAAAAAAAAAAAAAGTATCTAATTAGGATTTATGCTTTTTTCTAGTTTTTCTACCTAAGATCTAACCACTATCTTAAAGGTCTCCAGTTGATTCCTCATTTAAGGGTCAAACTCAGCAGCGAGGCTGCGACACTGACACACCGGCATCACCCAGACATTGGTCTGCGCGGCAGAAGAAGGCACCGCGCTCCCCTCCCGCTGCTGCCCAGGCGGGACCTTTCAGTGCTCGGTGATTTCCTCCACCACCTTCCCCGAGAGCGCAGCCTGCCCCCGACACCACCCGCCTCGGCCCCTGTCCCCCGGCTGCTCCGTGCGGGCGGAGGGAGCGGTGTCCGGCGGGGCCGGAGAGGGGCCGCACCCCACACGGCCCAGCACGGCACTGCCATGGCTGCAGCGCGGGGGGAGCGGGCACCGCCCACTCCGCACGGGACCACACAGCCAGGGCATGGAGGAGCGGCCACCGCGGGCGGACTCACGAGAAGCCGCAGCTACCTGCGGAGCCGGGCTGACAACCGCCTGCCCACCGCCCCGGAAGAGGAGGGCCAGCCCGGTGACGCCGCGCCCCTCCCCTGGACCGGGGCGGGGAAAGGCGGGGAGACGACGGAGAAGGGCCGAGCTGTGCCCTGGAAGCGGAATCGCGGCTGCGGTGACTTCCTGCCTCGGGAGGAAGGAGCGGTGGTTGAAGTTGCGCGTCGGGGGCTGCGCTGGCCCGAGGCACCGGCGGCGGCCGCCCGGGAGGATGCGGCGGGTGGGTCTGGCGGGCCTCGGCACGGGAGGGAGGCGGTCCCGGCCCCTGAGGCCGCGCCGGGCCGGGGGTGGTGGGGGCGGCCGGCGGGATTGGGGTCCGGTTTGGGGTCTCGCCGGGGCTAAACGCGCCTCTTCCCTGGGGCGGCGGCAGGTGGGACATTGCCCCGGGCGCTGTGCGGCTCCTGTGCCCCCACGGCGGGACGGGGCCGCCGAGGCGCTGCTCCCGTGACAGCGCCGATAAAAGTTCCTGCAGGTGCCTCCCTGCGAAGCCCCGCAGACCTTCAGCTTCTTGGCAGCAAGATCTCGCTCCAGTGTTTGGTTTGTCTCCACTGCCAGGTGGAACAATTCCTGCAAATGGGTGCTTGTTGAAGGTGGGGCTGATGGTGACAGTAGTGTTCTAAATGGGCCGAGTGATTGTTTTGAAAAGGCTGAAGTGGGTGTTTGTCGTCAGTCAAAAAGGAAGAAATTTAACAAGCTTTGAAATTGCTATATTTTAGCAGCCTAAGTCTCTAGAAAGTTAAAGTTCCAAGTTAAGGCATGGCCAATCTTGGTTTGTTGTTGTTTGGTTTTTTGTTGTTGTTTTTTTGTTTGTTTGTTTGGGTTTTTTTTTACACAGTATCATCGAAATTCGGGACATTGAACCACGATGATACTTTGTACTATTTGTCATTTGGGAGGAGAAGTATCACGCGAGTTACGGGGAAATCGTTATCTGTTATCAATACGTGCAACTTGATGCAGAGCTGTGGATGTTGGCTGTTTGAAATAAGCAGGACAAGTGACTCGTTGATTTTAAAGCCAGAGCCATGAAATGTGTGACGCTTAAGTTATTCTTACTGTACTTTTTCCTTTGTTAGGAGTCGCTACTTTGCTGTTGTTTTTCTCTTTTTTTTCCTTTCTTTTTTAATGAGTGTTTTTGTAGGATTTTAGTACTAAAAAAGTGTATTTTTCTGGTCCTTACTAAGCTTGTAGGTTTTCTTCCAGATCAGTTGACTAACTTCTACCTAATCAGTTGAAACTACCATCTTATAGTTGAGGACCTAATATTTCTACTTCTGGAGGTATTCTGAATAAATATGAGTAAATTAAATGTAACACTTGTGCAAGCCTTGTCTGTATCTGGAGGAGGTAGAGTCTAGGAAAAGGAAGTGGAGACAAACAGATGTCGTTAGCTATTTCTCAAGAAATATATTTGATTTTGTTTCTTTGTGTTGAAATCCAAAGGATTGCAGTGAGTGTTAAGACTTAACTTTTTTTTTTTAACTCTTTAATGAGGAAGCAGCCATTAAACACCTGATTGTGCTTCTTAGCACTAAGTTTAAAGCTACTTATGCACTAAAAGTTAGTTTTAAGGAGAGAATGTAATGTTTGCTTTTAAGCACTATGTATAGATGCTATGTTATTATTATATATGTATATTATTATAATATCACAGTATTGTCATATACTGTGTGTTGTGTATATAGTCCAGGACATTGTGATTCTTGAACTTCATTATAAGATATTTTCAAGTTCATCAAATGTTTCAAACAAGCATTCAGCTTGATAGGAGGAGCATGAGATGCACAGTTTCATTGGTGAAGCAGTTGTAATTTTTAGGGGGTTTGGCTCTTATCACTTCTTAATCTTCCTTTAAGTAACAAGATAAACAGTAAATTACATGTGTAACTCTAAACCATTTTACTCAAAATTCATAAATGGAATTGTCTTTCAGGCAGAGATGAAGCCTGGGAAATCATCACATCTAAAGGTAAATGTTTTATGATATGATTAGTGTATGAAAATAATACTGTTTAATATTAAAAATATAGACAAAGGCAAAACAATAGAACCTGTGGCAGATACAAGAGTAATTTCAGCTGCCATTCAAAATGAATGAAAAATTGTTCCCTTTAAATACTTTATATTTAAAGTGTTATCCCTTTAAGTATTTTAAATATACTCTTGAATTTTTGTGGGGTTTTTTTCAGTTGATAATGGTGTTAACCATTTAAAAATAGCATTTTTAGGGCAAAATAGAATAGTGTTAAAATGCCTTGATGATAAAGAGGGGTTTTTTTTCTCAAAACTTTTATTGTTACGAGTGATTGGTATTTTCAGTAGCTACTGGAAATATAGCTTATAGGACTTGTAGCTCATCTGATAGAACACAGAGGTCTGCAATAGTTCCTAGGCTGTGGATTCAGCTGTGGAGATGTACAGATACAGGGATGTGTGTGTGTGTGTATATCAGCATGTGTGTATACCCAACTCAAAGCTGAAGCTCACCACTTCCAAATTTCTTTTCTGTTTTGAGAGACACAGTTTCCATGGCAGACAATACAGTTCCATGGCAGTTTAAACTGAGGGTACAGCAGCAGTCTGGCCAAGTCTTACTTGCATTAGGTCTTCCCCTTGAGTTGTGCTGCATTGCTGTTCCTATGTGGCCATGGTTTCCTCAGTAAAGCTTTGTATTTCAGTACTGTCTTCTGCTTGTCTTTTAAGCTTACAAGCATGGCCAAATAAATAGCTGTAGGAATTATAGCTGTAGGAATTGTCAGGATTCCCAAAGGCTCGCTTTTCCAATGCACCTTATCAGAGGGACAAGAGGAAAAATTTATTTTAAATGACCTTATGCTTATTTACCTAGCCTTTTACTTAGTTTAAATAATCAATGATTATGAAATACTGTGAATACTGTAAAATGGGATGTGACTCCTTGTTATAGGAAAATCTTGTTTTCAAAGTTACAGCAATTACATGAAACACAGTGCTGTAATACAATATTTCTTCCAAAACCAATATTTTTTTTTAAAGTGAAGCAAGAGTGCCCTCCAATAACTTAAAGGGGTGAATGCTTCTTGCTATAACTGGGACATCAGACAGCTATGGGGCAAGTCTGTGACTCGTTGTTGTAGTCTAGGAACAGAAGCAGTCTTGTCTAAAGGGGAGATCATGTTTGTCCAGGTTGGGTGGGTTGGTGGGTCTGCTCTGTTTCTCAGGTTGACCACATCAGACATCAATACACTGTTACATCATTCTAATACACTGTTCTCCCACTCTCACGCCTTTTCCAGATTATTCTGGCCCTCTATTAGTCGTAAAATTAGAGATGCAAGAGAAATGCAACACATGCTCTTTGTAATTCATGACAGAGCACTTTCATCATAAGATGTTATATTGTAAACTGCTTGGAAGGTTTATAACTTCCCATTCAGCACACCAGGAGTGGGAAATAAAGACCAAGGAGAGAATTTTGTGTGTGTTGTCTTGCAGTATGTTGAACAGTCTCAAATCTCAGCACTTCAAAAATTGCTGACCTTACTGCTCACTGAGTATTACTATATTAGCTTGCCCATTTTATTTCTGTCCTTGAAGTGGAAATTGTGTTCTATTTGTTTCATCTTCTGCTTTCCAAGATAGTGTTTGGAAGGTCTGTTGCTTTGAGCTCCGTAGAAAGTGTGGGTTGTAGCTTTATTGAAAATGAGATTATATTGATTTGGCTTAGAGTCTCTTCTAGGCTTGTTTGAGATACCATCCTTTTCTGCTCTAGTGATCTTTTAATTGGTATTGAAAGGTGGGGAGGAACCTAGGAAAAATTTTTATCTTAGTTTCCTAACTAACAAATATTGCAGCAAGGTGTGAAGGCCTGGAAATGACTGGAACCAGTGAAGTTTCACACAGCTGGGAAAAAAACTTTAGTAGTAATGCCAATTGTTCAATAAGGCAGAGTGGTCAGCTTTATTTAAATATGTAGTGACCACAAAACATTTGTGGCTGTGTAGTTTGCTCCTCCTCTTAACTACTTAGTGAATGTTAAGCTTTAGTTGTAAGATGTGCTAGCTTTGCAATTCCAGTAGCTAAATATTTGTGTATACCTAGATATATATATATATCTATATATATCAGAAGTAATCACACAGCAGCACTATCTCAGTAGTATCATATTTTGGTAATATTATCCTGCTGAAATAAAATTATAAGTGGTGTCCTTCTCATGAAACTAACATAGCTTATAAAATCAGTTGTGAGCATCAGTCTCCAAGTAATAATCCTTAGTGTATGTGGGATAACCGTTGCAAAACTTCATCACTTTTATTAATTCTTTATCTCTTAGTAGTTTTGTTTAACAGTGGGTCTCTTACTCTTGTGAATAGCTTGTTGAGAAAACATTTTTGGGGTTTCTTTCATTTTGTAAGAAAGTCAGCAAAATGTTGAATAGTGTAGGTAAGGAAATACTTTTACTGTCTCATTATCAATGTTCTTATAGTCTTGAAATGTAATGCAGGAAATGTTTGTTAACTTCTTTAGGAAGTTATCTTAGAAACTGAAGTAGCTGCTTTATATGTCTTCTAATAATTGTGATATTTTTTTCAAGGAAAATGGATCACAGGAATTAAATTTTCCTATAGACAGTATTTGTGCATACTTGGATATGGATAATAAACATGAACTTATAAATAATATAAGAGGACAAAGTTGAGATAACTATTCTTTTAGACTACTTTATATTTCACCAGTTCTATGTATTTGGAGTAGATACACTATATAAAAGCTTAATATCACATTGGGTTTGGTTAATATGTGAATTTTAGGATATGACATTTTTATTTCTGATTCATTTCTAATTTTTGCATAAAATAGAGATGGCAGGTTTTCCTGGTCAGATTGGGTGGAATGCAAAGGCTGTAGCTGCAGAGGTCACCTTTTACCACTCAAGCCTAACAAGATGGCTGGTATAAAATGCTTGGATGCATCTCTGCATGTCAGACTCCTTTGGAGTTTGAATTCAGATTATTACTGTCCTATATCATTTTAGGAGATTATAACTTTGTGTCAAAAGTGTACCTATTACATGCTCTATAGCTTAGAGCATGTAATGCTCTTAGTGTTCACACTAAGAGCTCTAATCTTAGTGTCCTCAAACAAGTGAGTTTGTGTTGTCCCTTCCAGGTAGTGTGATTATTCAGTTCAGTGGTGACTAAATGGTTACTGTGGTTCTTGTGTAGGTTTGGCATATGTTTCCATATGAACCAGGAGTGAATACTGCAAGATCTTGTATGGAAGATGGGAGACATCATTTGGTTGGAAAGAAGGTTTAATCCATTGTCGTTAACATAACTCTCCTTATTTTATGCTGTGTGTCAGTTTTTGTCATGAGTCTGTTTTCATGTTTGGTATTTTCAGCAGTGTTTTTCATTGACCAGAGAATAATGTAGTTAATGGACTGTTTTCAGTGGTCTTTCGTGATGATAAAATTTTCCATTCAGCTAAAGACTTAATGCAGATTACTGATCTGATGGTGGAAAATGATTGTTAGAAATCAGAAGCAATCAAAATACAGCAAAAAAAAGCTGTCATAAATGTAACTACAAGGTGGTATCTTAGTATAGAGGAGTCTCTCTCTTCTGAGCAGTTCAGGAGTTGCTCTGTAGCCAGAGTTGATTGAGATGCTGAAAGACAGCCACTAACCCACAGCAGTGCTGGCATGTGTGGTGAGCCTCCCCTGGCTGCAGAGTGACGTGCACAGGCTTACTGCATGCTACTTAGCAACTTAGAAATAAAGGCTATTTTTGTTTGTGTTTTCTGAGTTCTAGAGTTACTTACATGAGCAACTTTGACAAACTGGTGATACAGTCTGTATGGTTGTTCTCTTGCTTAGTAGGAAAGTCTGAGGGAAAGCAGAAGTTACTGTGGTCTCACTCAACCAGTCTTGTAGTGCTGTTAGTGGACTGCCTGCAGAAATACTGTAAATGGGATTTTGAAGAGTTCTAAAGCCTTTCCTTATGATTGCATTTCTGCTTGTTTTACAGAGTCAGATGGTTTCCAAAAGTTCAAAGGGAGTTTGCCACCAAATTTTATGTTAATGCTCCAATACATTGACTTGCCATTAATCTTCTGCAAGTACAAATGCTTAAATTGTTACCTTTTTCTTTTTTCTATATTTATATGTATACATTTGGGTTCTTTTGCAGGATTTACTTGGAGTAAAAGATCACTGACTTCTACAATGGAAAAATCATGGATGCTTTGGACCTTTGTTAAAAGATGGCTACTAGCTTTGGCTTCCTGGTCTTGGAGTCTCTGCCGTATTTGTCTTTTGCCCTTGATAGTGACTTTTCACTTGTACGGAGGCATTATACTCCTTATATTAATATTTGTATCAATAGCAGGTATATTATATAAATTCCAGGATGTTCTGCTTTACTTTCCTGAGCAGCCCTCTTCATCTCGCCTTTATGTTCCTATGCCTACTGGTATACCACATGAAAACATCTTCATCAAGACCAAAGATGGAGTTCTTCTCAATCTTATTCTGCTGAGATACACCGGGGACAATGCAGCGTATTCTCCAACCATCATTTACTTTCACGGGAATGCAGGCAACATTGGCCACAGGTTGCCAAATGCTTTGTTGATGCTGGTAAACCTGAAAGTAAACTTAATTCTGGTTGATTATAGAGGGTATGGCAAAAGCGAAGGAGAAGCAAGCGAAGAAGGCTTGTACTTAGATTCTGAGGCTGTCTTAGACTATGTGATGACTCGGTCTGATCTTGATAAAACAAAAATTTTTCTTTTTGGCCGTTCCTTGGGGGGAGCAGTAGCTATTCACTTAGCTTCTGAAAATTCCCATAGGATTTCTGCCATTGTGGTGGAGAACACCTTTCTTAGCATCCCATACATGGCCAGCACTTTGTTCTCTTTCTTTCCGATGAGGTATCTTCCGCTGTGGTGCTACAAAAATAAATTTCTATCCTACAGAAAAATCTCTCAGTGCAGAATGCCTTCTCTCTTCATCTCTGGGTTGTCTGACCAGTTAATTCCACCAGTTATGATGAAGCAACTTTACGAATTATCCCCAGCTCGGACTAAGAGATTGGCAATATTTCCTGATGGAACTCACAATGACACTTGGCAGTGCCAGGGTTATTTCACTGCACTTGAACAGTTCATCAAAGAAGTAATAAAGAGTCACTCCCCTGAAGAAATGGCGAAAACATCATCTAACGTAACAATAATATAATTGATATTCTTCTTTGGGGTGGAGTGGGGCAAGTACCTGCACTGTACCTTGATTTGTGATAAGTGGTAAAAGAATGTTTGTTTTTAAATGTATGTCATGTCTGTACTTGCCTAAAGAGTGAAATTAAACTTGGAAAGGTCTGATATTTTATTAAAGTGTTCCAGATAACTTTTACATTTGCAGCATTGTAAATGAACCATTTTATGTCTTTCTCATACTTTTTTGGTATCTCTGTCCATATATTCCACTTGTTTGATATGTACAACAGATGCTATTAAAGAAAATTGCTACAAAAGTAGTACAGAATGTATTTAGAACAATGGGAGGCTCTTCGGTATTCACTGCTGTATGTGTGAGCTTTTTGGACAGCCATGGTTAGCACAATGATTACTTGCTTCTCTTAGAGTTTATTTAAAGTGTGCCATGCATGAGATTAGTGTTTTATTTCTTGAAATTTTATATTATGCAAAGTGGGAAGACTTTAATGCGCTAAATAATATAAAATAACATAAATGGTAGAGTATACTTGCAGGTATACTATCCTGGGTTATTACTGGTTTCTATGGTTATGCAAACTTATATATGTCAAACTGCAGTTGAAGATGAAAAGATACTTTCCTTATTTTCATTTGCTGTTTGTATTATAATAGTGCACAGAAGGTTATATGTGCCTGACATCATGACTTCAGGATTTTACCCAGGCAATTTCTGTATAGGAAATAGAAGTAACTTTTTCTGAAAGAGATCAGTGCAATTTAAGCTCCTTTCTGCCTCAAGCTCTCCTCACTAATGCACAGGCAAACTATTTGGTAGTACTAGTCTGCTTGTCCATTTGAGGTGAAATTCTTAAGGCAAAATGGGTGGTCATAGGTAAAAGTAGGTTTTTGTGTTCAGACTTTTACACTTGTGTAGTTAAATGTTTGTGCCCTTTATTTATACCTCCTAAAGAAACAAATTCAAATAATTACCAGTGATCACATGATTAGAGATAAATGGTACAGTTGCTACAGTAAGGATAGTGAAAATGGGCAGATAGTCCTAGATGGTCCTGTCATTGAGGGAAGGAAGGCTCTGCAGACACTGATTGACTGGAGCAACAAGCCAAAGCCAAGGGCATGAGTTTCAGCAAGATGAAAGGCTGGGTCCTGCACCTGAGTCACAACCCCAGGCAGCACTACAGGCTGGGGAAAGAGTGGCTTGAGAGCTGCTCAGCAGAAAAGAGACTTGGAGATGCTAGTCAACAGCTGCCTGGATGTAAGGCTGCAGTGTGTCCAAGTGGGTAAAAAGGCCAATGGCATCTTGGCCTGTATCAAAAATAGCATGGCCAGAAGGATCAGGGCAGCAGTGATCCCTGTACTTGGCACTGGTGAGGCCACACCTCAAGTCCTGTGCTCAGCTCTGGGCCCTTCACTACAAGAAAGACATTAGGGGGCTGGAGCAAGCCCAGAGATGGGTAACAGAGCTGGGAAGGGTCTGGAGCACAAGTTCTGTGAGGAGCAGCTGAGGGATATGGTGGTGTGTGGGTGAAAGAAAAGGTGGCTCAGGGGAGACCTCATTGCTCTACAACCACTTGAAAGAAACCTGTAGGAAAGTGAGGGTCAGCCTCTTCTGCCATGTTTCAAGTACAAGGATGAGAGGAAATGGCCTTGCATCAATGAAGGTTCAAATTAGATATTATAAAACAAATTTCACTGAAAGAGTGGTTAGCCATTGGACTAAGTTGCCTAGGCAGGTAGTGGAATCACCAGCTGCTCTGGAATCATTCAAGTCAGCTGGATGTGGCATTTGGGGATATGGTTTAGGAGTGATTATGGTTGTGTTAGGTTGATGATTGTACTAGATGACCTTGAAGGTCTCTTCCGACCTTAATGATTCTGTGATCAAAGACATGCTGTTAACTTAGTCTCTAATGGAATGTGGGAACTGTTTAGATCTCTTCTGCAGGTTTAATTACTCATCTGCTGCAGCTGAGTTTGCCTCTTTAAAATATTTTTTTTAATAGAAAGAACAAATTGGAAAATCTTTCACACGATCTTTAAAGTTGCCCTTTGGATTCAAATTTTTAAGTACTTTTCTGCCATGTTGTCCTGATTCAGAAAAGCATCTCAGCACACACTTAAAATCTGTTTCCTGAAGGGTAGTCACATTTTAAGCTTGTGCTTAAGTTCTTTGGTTGAATAAAACTGCTTTCCTGAACTGGTGCCTTAATGGTTATGCCTCCTAATGAAATTATAGTTCTTATCTTATGTACATGTGGGTAATAGTTGTCAGCAGTTTGTAGACAGGATGATACATCTTTTCATAAATGTGATTTTTTTTTTTTTTTAATAAACATTCACATACCAGAAGTTGCTGCTTTCTCTGGTAAGTATCTTTTGTGGTACTATTATTAAGGTTTTTGTAGAGTTGATCGAAAAACTATACATCTTTTTGGATCTATAGACAGAAAAACATAGTGCATCTGAGTGAAACCAAAACTATCTTTTCAGCCTTACAGTGGTGATATTTTCTTTTTCCTTTTGGGGAGAGGGGTGCTTGGGCACGGTATATTGGAGAAGTTTGACTGGAGGCTGGGAGATGAGGCTGTATTTGTATAGTAGAAAGGAGTTGATAGATGTCACATTGCCCTTCCCTGATGTATTCTACAGTGAGATGTAAGCTGCTTGCATAGATTGTTTCACCTACTTCACATTGCTTTAGAATAGAGGTGGAGGGAGAGAAGGAAAATTAGCAGTCAAATATTGCTTTTCTAAAATTCATTTGATGAAGCCAAAAGAGTAGATTAATTGCTGGAGACAGAATGAAGAGAAAGTAATTGTTTCAGAAGTTGTTCTATCTTGACATTAAATACCATTGGGGCTGGGGGGAGGAGGTGTTCACAGAGCATCAATTTCTAAAGTAGCATGCCATTTAACCCTTCTTGGCACCAATCAAAACAAAACTCTCAACCCCAGAATGCCCCTAGTATTATGTGGTACTTTTATGCAAATGAAGTATTCCTGTTTGAGCACACAGTTGCTAAGACAAAGTCAAATGTGTAGTGTTAGATTATGGCAATCTGAAACTCTTCGAAGTGGGCTGTATCTAAACATTACTTTTTATTATCAAGCCATATATGTTTTCACTATATTGTCTGCAGGACATAAGTATGAAACTTTAATTTTGCAGGTATTGTGTGTGAGTTGACACAATTGTCATGTATGCATCTTTACACTTGTGTGGTTTCTTCCACCTTCCACATATGCACAGTTTTGTTTCTCACTTAATGTGTTAGCCACATACACTTGTGAATGAATGTTATTATGCTATTTTTCATTGCATTGGTTATGAAGTCCACTGAAGGAAAATAGGGAAGTGATGTTTTTATGCAAGTATTCCACTGCTCTGCATACAATTCTTTAAGGGACGGAGGGAGAAAAAAAGGGGAGGAAACTTGTTCTGACAAGTGAAGACTTGTTTCATGGACTGTGTGATGGAAACCACAGTTATCTGCTGCTAAAAACTGAACTACAAGCAACATAGTAATAATAACTTTAAATTGCCAAATGGTGTGTTATGATACTGTTACATTTATTTTATTTAATGCCATTATATGTTTTCCCATAACAGTTATCCATTTGCGTATAGATGTTTCCCAAATATTTGTCCTGTAGATATAAATTTCTAGTTTGGGAAGAAGTTGAGTTCTTTTCACAGGTTTGTAAGAAAGCCTTAGTTTAAATATGTTCATTAAAGGAATTTTCTGTTTTATAGGAAGACATTTAAGTTAAAAAAAAATTAATGTGAAAACAAAGTTCCCAGGGAGGGATCAGGAGTTCAACAGCTGTAGCAGTAGGGTTCCTTGTAAGAAAGCATAAAACCTTGTGGGTGCACACATTGTGGTTTTAATTTGTGGAAATACTTGAGGCTTCCTACTAACCCAAGTTTACATTCCCAGAATTTGTTTCTGAACTGTGAAATGCAGAGAGATAAGCTGTGCTTTCTTCTGGAGAAACATTAACTGGTTTAGCTGCCCTCATGTCCATTTCTCAGGTAAAATTAGAAACAGAGCACAAATGCATTTGGTAGGCTGTGGACAATCTGTCAGCTGAAGGGCAGAAGGATTAACTATTTATACAAAATATGCATATCAGCATCTCTAAGCTAATAATTGGGTCATGTTGGATGTTCACAGTGAAGAATGAAAGGCAGAATTGAGAGTCCAAGGTATGGTCTTTTCTCTTAGCAAAAAGATGCAGATGTACCTCCATTTGTATTTCATCAATTCTTGAAAAATACATTTTTATTTTTGTTAATGACAGGCAATTTTGCTAGGGGCACTTCTGCCAAATATAAAACCAGTGCCTCTTGCATGTAGTGGGATCAGCCTAATGTATCCCATGAGGTATAATTTGCAATGCCATCCTGCTTGTATAATTTAGAGTAGAACCCCACAGAAGTGTAAATAGAGACAGCATATTAAAGTTCTAAATAACACTTATGTTTTGAATTTAGAAACAGTCATTGATTATGAGATGCAAGCTTTTTGTTTGATTTTTTCTTTAATATATAGTTAAGCCAAAACTGTCTTATGAAGTATTCTTAAGTTTTGTAGACAAAGCATAAATGTTATTGTATATGTGCTAATTGTGGCAAAGTTTTACATTATCATTCTAGTTGGTTTTTACAATAAAGTTAATTTTACAAAAAACACTTTTCTATTTTTATGTACTGACATATGCAATAAATTGATACATTAAAAGTGCTGGTAATGTCTTATTCTAGTTTGTGGCCTGTGTTCAGTGTGTTTGCATGGTAACAGATCAACCCCAAGGTATAATTTTCAGTCACTTACTAAAGCCAGAGCACATGGACTAGGCATCTGCATTGTTAGATGTGGCCTTTGTGGAAAGCTATTACATCAGAGGAAAAAGCATATTAAGAAATATATTTCTAAGCTTTGCCATGTATCCTCACTTTCAGGAAGTGTTAGTAAGTAAAACTTGTGTGTGGTGGCTCTCCATCACTTTCTAACACATTTTGCATTTCAAAATTTCTCTGTCTGGGGATCTGAGAGATGGTCTAAGTATTATGTCCATTAGAAAGCATTTTGAAGTGTTTCTGACTTGTTTTACCACATATGCTGGCAATATTTTAAATACCAGTTTTAAATCCTATAATGCCTCTCAGATTTATAGTTAATTCATACAGTTGGAGTGGGATACTCAGTCTGAAGCAATTTCTACTTTCTTACAGAGAAATGCATTACTAAGCTTATATCACCTCTGCTCCCATTCAGCATGGTTAATATCAATTAACATGAAAATAAGCCCAGAAAATAAGGGCTACTGCTGTCTTTTATGAAGCTGAAAAATTTATGTCCTCTCCTGAATTACTTCAAGGCTTATAGTTAAATTTTAACTCAGTACCTAGGAAACGGGGCTGTGGGTGGGGGGTGTAGGTGTGGTACATTTGGACACTCCATGATACCTATTAGTGTGGAATGAAAAAAAAATTCTAATTTTTGTAAAGGAAGAAATGAAAGTACAGGAACAACTCCAGATTTGGGTACTTCATGTGAATATTGCCCTGAATGAGAAGCAGGTTGCTGTCTTGTGAACTATGTCACTAAAACTTGCTTGCTCAGTAGTGTTCTGGAGAACACAAGGTCTTGCATTTGCTTTCTCTTACTTGAAAATTGATAAGCAGCTAGGCTACCAAGTGCAGCACAAACTGTGTCTTGGAATGTCTCATGATGTTATATTCATTTGCTTAGCAGATGGGTATAGGCCTTCATATCAGGCAAAACACCATATTTGAATTTTTCTCTGAATTCGCGAGTACTGTTTAAATCATAGCAGACATTCATGAGGACACATGAACATCCAACTAAAACTGGAGCAGCCCTGCCGAGAAGGACTTGGCGGTGTTGATGGGTGAGAGGCTGGACATGACCCCACCATGGGCACTCACAGCCCAGAAAGCCAAAGGTGTCCAGAGCAGCATCCAAAGCAGCAGGGCCAGGGAAGGGATTCCTCTGCTCTGCTCTGCTCTGCTCTGGTGAGACCCCACCTGAAGTGCTGCATCCAGCTCTTGATTCTTCAGCACAGGAGGGACATGGAGCTGTTGGAGGGAGTCTAGAGGAGGGCCACCAACCTGATTAGAGGGATGGAGCACCTCTTCTATGAGAAAAAGCTAAGAGAATTGGGCTTGTCCAGCCTGGAAAAGAAAAGGTTTTGGAGTGACCTAATTGCAGTTTTACAGTACCTTAGGGAGGCTACAAGATAGATGGGGAGGTTTTTACAAGGTCATGAAGTGACAGGACAAGAGGAAAAGGCTTAAAGTTGAAAGAGAGTAGGTATAGATTAGATATTTGGAGGGAATTCTTTGCTGTGAAGGTGGTGAGGCACTGTAACAGGTTGCCCAGAGACGTTGTGGATGCCCCATCCCTGGAAGTATTCCAGGCCAGGCTGGATGAAGGTCTCAGCAACTTGATCTAGTGGAGGATGTCCTTGGCCATGATAGAGTTGTTGGAACAAAATGATCTCTAAGGTCTCTTCCAACCTGACTCTATGAAATGAAATCCAGACCAAAGGTTTGCTGTCTGTTAAAAAGATCAAGTACAGACAGATAAGGCTTTAAGAAAATGCTGAACCATTGGCTTAGCAAAAATTGTTTGCTCCAAAGATATTGAACATGCCTGGGCTTTTAATCTCTTGTTGGACTCTATTCAGGGTCTTTTAGATTTTGTACTGAGTTCTGCCTCTGTAAGTAGATAGGAAGATACACTGATTATTTTCTGGATTTGTTTTGAAAACATTGATGTGATTAATTTGTTATGCTTCAGCTTGGATGGGGACAGAATAACTTTTGTATGTCTGGGAAAAACAGCAGTTTTTCTTTCTCTGAAAGGCAATGCAGCTTAAGAGCAGATTTGGTTTTACTGTATTAAAGAACATGGTTTCACTCCCAGCTGGAGATGCATATTTAATAATGTGAAGCAATGAGCTGAATAATGCAAAGCTGCAAGGTGGCTGACAGAAATGTATGTTCACATACCAAGTTCAGAGAGATGTTGCTGCTATTTGACAAGTAACTAAGGAACTGATTGTGCTGCTTGAAGGCAGAAAGAAAGGAAGTTCTACAGCTGGTTTGAATTACGCTTAATGGCTAGTGTAGGCTAACTATTTACAAAAATTCAAAGGGAAAGGTCAGGCAGAGAACCCTTTCCTGTTTGTCCTCTAGGACTCAAGGACAGTGTAGCAAATACAGCTACGAGGAAATTTTGAAAATATTTGAATCCTTGTCCTGTGCCCTCTATTGAAGGTCTCCAGACTGTAGCAGCAGCAGAGCGGCCACTCCCACATGAAGGGCCATAGCTCCGTGTTTATCTTGTTATCATACAAAAGCATTTTCAGCCCATCTGTGCAAAATCTGTTAAGTTGCATAGTGTCAAAGAGGTGGAGAAATGCAGTTCTCCATGTTGCTGGATAGCAAAGCCGGTGAGACAGTAAGAGGAGTGGGCTTCAGCTGTATGAGAGGGCTCCTTTTTCCCTGGGCAGTAAGAACCAATTGCTGTAACATCATGGGGGGGAAGGGGAAGGGGAAGGGGATGGGGAGGAGGCTGCCATTAAGCTGCTGTAGTATATAAATCCTGGGTTGTCTTTTTATATTTTTCATGTTTTGAAAATTATTTTCTAGCTGGTTCTGCTGCATACTTTGAAAGACACCTATAATAATTGTTTTTCCTTTCTGTGTCAGTTCCTCTTCTCTTTGAAAGCACTGTAATAACCATGTAAAAAGTGACAGTGGCTGCAAGTCAGATCTAGGTTTACTTTGTGTAGTATGCATTTGGACCCAAATTGCCTGGATATCTAGAGAAGTAATATATTGCAAGAAATGAAACAAAAATGGCATACCTAAAATATGCAGACACATTTGTGTTATCCTCGGCAATTTTGAAATGTTGATGAAAAGAGAAAATATTGTCCTTTTCGCCTCAGAAAAATCTCATGTAATATTTTGTTTTCCTTTTAACAAGATAATTTATCAAATAAGGTTTAAACGGTTTTTATAACACATCCTTTGCTTGAAAGGTATTCAACAGCTTCCTAGAAGTTAAAATAATAAGATGTAAGATATACAGCCACAGGAGTGGCATATCCAGAAATAGAATGCTTTTGGGATCCATTTGTGAGGCAGAATTTGTCTGGATTTGCTGCTGTATAAGCTGTAGTTAATGGCTGAAAGAACTAATTAAGTGATCTTGAAGGGAATTTGTACTGTTTCAGAGGGGTATCTGTGAATACTTACATACAGATCTCTTTATTAGCAGAAAACTATAATACAGGATTTATTCTGATCTCCCTCAAAATAGTCCTCCTGTTTTGTCCATCTTCAGAAAGGACTTGAAATGGAAAATTTCAGAATGGAGCCTCAGCCTTTTCTGTGCTCTGCACTGTCTTGTGTGGTAAGGCGAGATAGCGTGGTCTCTTTCTTGGAATAGCCGCAGGGACCATTTTGCGGCTGCTCCAGAAGTATGTGGAGCTGGACCCTTGCCACTGGAGGCGTACTTTTAGTGCAGCCTGCGACACACTCGCCTGGATCTCTGGGTTGCAGCATCTGCACAACCTCCTCTTTAAAAACAGAACATTTGTTTTGAAGTAAACTTTGATGTTTCTTCAGTAAATTGGGTTTTTACACAAGACTTCACAGTCATATCAACTGCTTCTCTTTTGTGCATTGAACTTCGTTATGGGTTTTTCCTCTCCCACAAAGAAGATGCTTTTGTGGTTAAAGTACATAACTGGATTTCAGGAAATCAAGAATTCAGTTTCTGGTTAAACCACAAATTTCCTGTATGATTGGTTGCTATCTCTGCCTTGGTTCCCCACCAGATGTAATGTTGATCTTTTATAAATTTTCAGATTAGCAGGACCCATTTTTATAATTTAATCTGGACCTCTGCATAATGGAAATGAAAAAAATAAAGTAAGTTAATTACCTGCATAAAATTACAGGGTTTGTTTCTGCTGTAACATCTTGGAAGTTTTACACAGCCTTAAATTTGGGTTCAGGAATCCTAAATAATGGGTTCAGGAACCCATTTTCCTGTCTTGTAGTGTAACATTCTCACCTTTAAGCATCTTCAGTGGTAATGTGTTGGGGTTTGGTTTTCATTTATTTATTGTTTTCAATTTACCTAAATTTTTAATCTTTTTCCTGGAAGTAATGGACTTGGTTAACTAGAATTCTTAGACTAGCCAAGGCATTTCTTAATAGTTTTCCTTGGCTAAATGAAAGAGGTTTTTTAGTCAGTTAATCTGAATGTTCAACATAGCTCATACTTTGGGGTAAGGAGACACTGGTGTATGCACAGATCATGTACTGTGCATGCAAATTAAGACCATATTTTCAGAATATCTTTATTATAAGGGTTTATTTTTATTTGTTTGTGGACTTAAATGGCCAGGGCTACTTTTCTGCAGTTTAATCCAATGATATTTCCTTTTGTAGCAATAGTTTGGAAAATGCTGCTTTGAACTGGTTTTAAAGCAGCCCCTAAGGCTTCCTGACTGCATGTGTTTCTTGAGACCAAAATTGTTGATGTGGTACAAAAGTTTACAAAAGGATTTTCAGGAAATCTGTCCAGTAGAAGCAAGCTGCTAGCCAAAACCTGAACACCATTTCTGAGATTAGTTCTTTAGGTCTATTATATTAATTCTGTATTTTTTACCTTTTTCACAGTTCAGTTTTGTCAGTCTTAGCTATATGCAAAT